GGACCGACGTTGGCGAGCGCGCTTGTAAGATGCTGCTCGCTGTTGTATCGCGATTGAATCACGAATCACAATCACAATGCTGGCAAGCGAGGCCAAGGAGTGGCGATTGAACACAAACTCTGACTCTGATGACTATGTGGGTGTCTGCTTATAGTCAGTAGTCACGAATAGCCATGTCCGAAATACCGCCGTAGTATGATGCAACAAAGGTGCATCGGTGGAACGCGCATCGTCGAATCAATCGCACAACTCGGGGCTCATGATGTCGTGTGCAGCAAAGGATACGAGGGCGGTCATCAGTCATCACAGCCAAAGTCTGAGTTTGGAAATCGTGAATCAGAATTCAGCCCGGCGCCTGCATAACGTCATCAGTGACACACAGTTGGCCGCAGTCATTTCAGCGAAAAGATTAAAAGCCATCACAATCGTGAATCAAGGATCGCCATGCAGCCAATCAAGCGGTCATGACTCGGCGTCCGCCTTGCGGCTTCACTTGATTGAGGGCGCAAGCAAAATCAATTCCGTGGCGACCTCGCGCGCGGGAAAAGGCCACGCCAGCATGCATCACATATCCCCATTCGGCATTTGTATACGGCAAGAGCGCTGTTCGATCATTTGTGAGCCCATAATGAAGCCGCCGTAGCATGTGCAGACATGCCGCTCTCAGTCCTGTCACGCTTGACTGGCCTTGAATGTCAGATCATTTCGCTAGCTTCTGATCCGCAACACCTCGTGGACGAATCCCCGTCGTACACGCAGTCGTCTTTGGTGAGTTGGCATTGAAGTCTGTGAGTCGACATCAGCGGTCGCGGTCGATTCAGGAGTGCGTCATCGCCACTACCGAGTTTTCTGCTCCTGAGTCTGCGCTTTGGATTGGCAACGCCGCGCCGCATCCTGCCGCAACGGGGACCATCACGCCAACGTCATTTTTTGATTCTTCATCTTTTGTGGGATGATGAGAAGAATGAAGTCCATCCCGCGGTATAACGCGGTAGATAGACTTTGTCATGATCACATCACCTGAAAGCATGTGTCTCGTCAGCAGCGCCCGCAGCCACCGCTCTTCTCGCCACTCATTCCTGATTGCTGCGGGGCTGCTGTGGGGTTCATGGCTTGCCTACGCATTACAAGCTACTCCATCCAGCATAGCTGCATCAGATGCATTTTCTTGATGCACCATACTCATGGGTCCGCGAATGTGATTCTCCATGTACTTGGCTTCAACCAATCGAATCACAGCAAGTGGAGCGGAGTCACACAGCTCAAGACGGAGAGTGCAGATGTCTCAATCTGTAAAATGGGATTCCCCCGTGCATCCCTCTTTATGCATCGGAGTCATCACATGCTATGGTGGCTGGGCCGTTGCGATCAGATTCTTGATTACTCAAGGACTCACAGGCGAGTACGACCTGTACAGTCGCGCGTGATGGTGGACGTAGGCGACTGTCCATTCAAGCACGGAGACAAGAGAGGCAGTCTGAGTG